TGGCGGACGGGTGGTGGTGGTGAAACCTTGAGGGGAGGTAGGGGGTGGGGGTTCCGCGAAAATCTCCAAGGCTCCTTGTCCCGCTTGGCCTTCCGCGCGGCGCGAGGGAGGCGGAGGGAACGGGAGGAGGAGAGGGGTTGGAGAGGAGGGAGGGAGGGAGGGCGCGCGCGTGGTGGCCTGCCTGCCTGCCTGCCTGCTCTGGGGGTGGGGGCGGCCGAGCCGATCTCCTTTTCTACTTCCGGGGCGGGCGGCTCCCCGCTCTCTCTCTTGTTTGTTGCGTTCCGCTGGGGGTTTTCGTTTCCCTTCTCCTCGCTCCCTCCCGTACGTGGCCCCGCGCGTGTGCGCGGGCGATCTCTTTTTCCGGGGAATATTTTCTTCCCGGGCTTTCCCGTGCGCTGCTGTGACCGGACCGGCCGTGCGAATTTCGCGCCGGTTGGACTGTTGGGGGAAGGCGCGCGAGCGCGCGTGGCCGTGTCCGTCCAGCTGTGGGTTGGATGGATGCCTCGTTGGTTTGGGGAAGGAATTTATCGGCTCCTTTACTGCGGCCGATCTGGATCTTTCAAATTGATCGATTTCCTTCTTGAATTGGATCGGGGCTGGAATTCTTTACTAGGTCGTACACTTGCATAACGGAGCAGTAGTACTGGTATATACTACGAGTACAAGGTACTCCAGAGGGTGTGAAAAGGAATGGGAATGGTCACGCTATGGAAAAGTTATCTTAGACAAATTTCTGGTCGTGCCCAAAACTCTGTAGCTCAGTAGTTTTTCTCTTTTCTTTGTTGAACAATTAGGGGAGGGAAGAGAACCACATGACTCAAAGGAGTTTCATGCACAAAGTTTTTTTTCTTTTGAGGGACAGACAAGTGTTGTTACGCGAGTATAGTTTTTCTGCTTTTACTAGTTTTCCACACACACGAACTTGGAAGAGGATGTGCTCGTTTCGTCATAACCCGTGTTTTCTTGGCACTCGATTTTGCTAATATTTATCCCTCGGTTTTCTTTTGGATATTCGGGAAATGTTGAACTTATATCATCCGATCAGGAAAACAAAGTAATAAGCAATGGTAAGTTGGTACGAACACTACAACGATAGATATAAGGTGAAAGCAACACCGTTAAAGATTGCAATTTCTAGTCACCCGCAAAAGAAAATATTGTAATTTATAATGGAAAAATAGTTCCATTAGCAAATACCCTGTCATGTGGCGTGGCCACGTGGTAAGGCATCGGGTTTTGGTCGTTACTAAAAGGTTTGAATCATTACGACAGAAATGTTAATCTAACCAATACAGGTTGGTTGGATAGGGCATTTTAGCCGTTGGGTCATGACCAAGGCACATAGTGATTACTAACTAATGCAGTTGTTATTACGCAATAATATCGATAATTGTCAGACACGTGTTCCCCCACGTGCAACTACTATACCCGAGATGTCTGGTTTTGGTAGGATGCCCCTATGCAACCGAATGGCGGGAGTATTTAGAACTATATTAACTAATCGCTACATACGCCTATTGATTGAGGAGTAGGCAATACCACCATGAAAACAATGTTGAAAAGCCTAAAATAAATCTAGAAAAATACAACCACCCGTGACAAAAAACCTGGACTTGAACCCTGGTGTGGAGGTTATACCCTAAGAATTCTAGCCATCCAGGCTATGCTCGACTCACACCCCATAGTGTGTTAAACTACAATAAATAAAAAATTGACGATGGTGTTACAATTGAATACTTTTCGACTGCCATCGACAAGGCCATGCCGACTTCAAGATAGGAGCGACAACAGCGGCTCGTTCTGGCGGCGGCAATGTTCGTTCGGTGGTCCATGGGCCTACATGTAAAAAACCTTATGTTTGGGGTGTTTTATACACTACTAGTAAAATGCTTATACATAGAAGTTTAGCAGCGTTTGTTTCGGACCCACGCTACTGGTAATTTGCAGTAGCGTTGGTTACAAAGCACGCTACTGGTAATGGTTAGCAGTAGCGTTGTTTAGCATGGGCCGCGCTACTGTTACATGTGCCGCGGGGCCCAGAACGAAAGTCCACTTATCTATAGCGTGGCTTGTCCACCAACGCTACTGCTAATGGGCTTAGTAGCAGCACTGGCCCATACCCAACGCTACTACTATGCCAAAAGAAAACCCCCCGCACCCCGGCCTCACTTCGATCGATCCCCTCCCAACCGCCGTCGCGGTTACGGTTCCGTCCGACACCGCCACCGCGGGTAATGCTCCTCCCTCTCCGCTGCTCCTCCCTCTCTCGCCGCCCCGATCTGTCGCCGCTCGCCTACCCACTCCCCTGCTGCCCCCAAGTCTGTCATCGCCCCCACTCCCCCTTCTGCCCCTCCTCCCCCAACTCCGTCGCCGCCCCCACTCTGACGACTGGGTCGTGGAGGGGGACGCGCTAGCCGGGGTGACTTGCACGTAGGGGTTGTCAGCGTCGTTGCTGGCCACCGTGACGGCGACGGCCGTGGAGTGCGGTGGCGAGAGAGACGTTGAGAACCCCCTACTACCCCACTCCCAACCCACCGCCCTCACTGTCCGCTGACGAGAGAGAGGTTGAGAGCCCCACTCCTCAAACCCATGATGATGATGTTCTTGTTGTGTTAGATCCATTGATCTTGTTTAATTAGTACTAATGCTAGCTTGTTGACCGGTCCAAGTTTTTAGGGATTATAGCTAGCACGATGCTTTGCTTTAGTTGTTGGTTTTGGGGTTCCTCACATTAGTTGTTTTTTATGCTATATTGGAATTAGTGAACCACTCTTTTTTTATTGGGTTAATTCTACCATCTCTAGATCCTACTGTTAGTAGCACATATAAACCTGAATATATTCAGTTTGGCTTGTGTTGAGATATCTTGTGGTTCGGTTTAGGTCAGATGGCATAACACATTTGTGTGGTTTGGTCTGGTTTAGTTTTCTTGTGGTTCAGTTTAGGTTAATCATATGGCAGTTCTTGTTATATGTTTTTTCCTTTGAAGTGGATCATTAATCCGTTTCTAATATTGCTTTAGGAAAATGGCGCCACCACCACCACCATGTCGACTGTGCAAGTCAAGGTGCGCCAGCAGCCTTGCAACTGGCACGTTGTTCGACATCTACTTCCAACCGAGTTTTCTTCCTGTGGCGGTAACAAAATATATGAAACTTGTAACAACTATTTTGTTTCTAGTGTTGTTAGCATTAATGCATTGTGTATATATCATTGTGTATACACAGATCATCCCATGCAATGTGAGGTTGGAATTCAACAAGCTGACTGGAGACAATGTGACCTTTGAGGCTCATGGGGGGCCTACACTACGGAGGTCGAGAAAGGATGAAATATGTCGCAGATGGGAGGAGATGGATGGGACCGTTTCATCTCCCACATGGGTATCACTGGTGGTGAGTTGATCAGCTTCTCCTTCAGAGCAGAAAGACCCGGCCGTCATTTATGTCAACACGGAGGAAGATGATGAGGACCCACTTGATGAAGTCATATATGCTCAAAGAATAAGGTTGGGCAAGGAGGAGGTGTGCAACCAACGGGACATAATTCCGCCACATGCTGACTATGTCGGGGTGCCATTCGTGACCCGCCTGACAAGTACCATGGTTGATCAACATGTTATGGTATGTTATACTTACTGTAGTAATTTCATTATATGCTTTATTGTTATACTTACAAATGCAAATTATCTGTATGTAGAATCCGATGATATGCATAGTGTAGAATCCAATGATATGCTTAGTGTAGAATCTGATTACATGCTTACTTAGTGTAGAGTCCAACGATATGCTTAGTGAATCCGATGATATGCTTAGTGTATAGTCCAATGATATGATGTGTAGAAGCTAGCTGATGATATGCTTTAGTGTAGAGTCCGATGACATGCTTAATTAGTCTACTCCAATGACATGCTTACTGTGCGATCGATGATATGCTTTAGTCTGTAGCTAGAGTCCAATGATATATATGCTTACTGTAGAATCCGATCAATGATATGCTTTAGTGTAGCTAGAGTCCAAGGAACCGTTAATAGTGTAGAATCCATACTTATTAGTAGAATTCAAGCTTAGTAGAAACGTAGTACTGTTTTTATAGTGTAGAAATCTATACTTAGTAGAAATATATTTGCAAGAGTATATGCGAGAGATAGAGGCAAAGGTGTCCCGTCTTTCG